AAGTAATATTTTGTTTATTTTTAATCCTAACAATATTTATGGTTAGATAAAGTATACTCAAGTCAGTTCCTTCAAGCTCTACAAAATTAAAACTTCAGAATTAATATGAACAAAAATACAGCTGTTTTTTTTTTGCCACAAAAAAAGGATATTTAGACACTCATGTTTTTTTTTCTCGCTGACCTACAACTTTGATATTTGGCTAGTAGTGTCGTTTTATAGTAAGTATAAGTTCAAGGAAAAATTGTAATAGAAGTACAGATTACAAAATATATAAAGACGAAAGATATGATTGTTTGTTTGCAGCAAATAGGCTCCAAAACTACTGGACCGAGACTAAATTATTTCACCTACGGGAAGCTATATCGCGGTGAACTATATTTTATCCTGAAAAACAGCAAATAATGGGATGGAAATGGGACTTGAAATTTGTATGGGGAATTAAAACGTTGCCATAGTAACCATTGCTTACTATTCAATTTGTCATTGTGATTATATCCGTGTCATGATATGAATCGATATCCAAATAAACAGTTCCCTAGGGACCACTGACGGAAAGCTAGTTGAATGATAAAATTTAAAACTGAATGTACTACTTTTTTTATGGGATAGGGGGCAGACGAGCAGACGGATCACCTGATGGTAAGTGATTACCGTCGCCCATGGACACCTGCAACACAAGCGCGTCCTTCAAAGGCCAGCAGGGCCTTTGAAGGACGAATATGATCATAGGAAGGGAAGGGTTGAGGGGAAGAGGGAGGGGTTGGGCCTCCGGTACCCTCACTCACACGACGAAACACAATGCAAGCGTTGCTTCACGTCGGTTTTCTGTGAGGCCGTGGTATCACTCCGGTCGAGCCGGCCCATTAATGCCGAAGCGCGGCTCTCCCACATATCTTGTACAAGCGATACCTATATCACATGAAAGGACTATATATGCATATTTCAAAACGTATTTTATATATTTTTCATGATGCATAAATTCTTATTGCTTTAAGGCGGGAGGCCCACTCACGCTTGGCCGGTCATCTTTAATTTTTCTTTTTTAACTGTATGATATCATTAGGCAACAGAGTTTAATTTATTTTTTTCTAAAGTAATTAAAATTATGAGATATCCTAGGACGTTCATCTATTTGTTCGTCATACGGAAAATAGTAGGGATTATCGTTGGCCACCATCAATCAGTCAGCTGTCTGCCATCAATCTATATAAATAAAATGAAGCTGTGTCACGTATGATGAAGAACCTAATGATTAATGCACGGATAATAACATTATATGTGTTGTGTGGTAAATCAATTAATAATTTTACATGAATTCATTGCTTTCTGGTTTTACTGGGAAATCATGCGGTACATCAAATATTAGGTACCTACATTAAGTTCCCACGAAACAAAAATTTTTTGTCATCTATTTTTAACTCCTGTACTGTATTATAGATTAAATCCAGCTATTTATAAACAGTACCGCCAATACCTAGTCTACTAAATACACTATCAGCCAGTTGCACAAACGTCCATTAATATTGACATTAGTTTAAAGCGACATTACCTATACAAATTTGACATTCATTAGATAGTGCTTAACGTCCGTTAAACCTTTAATGGACGTTAGTGCAACTGACCGTATATTTCATAATCATTATCAGCCTGTTAATATCTCCACTGCATGGGTACATACCTTTCTTCAGGCTTACGAACGCAATCGAATAGGGTGAATGAATTACATATGAGCCATGAGAGCACAGTGAGAATTGGTAGGTGTAAATTTTTGGCCACCTTTCCTATCACCGAAACAAAAGAACGCGTCATCGAGCTCGAGTCGATAATCGAGTTGAAATTGAAACAAAAATTGTAGTTTTTTTTTGTATTTTACAAAATGGCGAACGATACAATTCTAGTTCTATATTAGTTCAGATAACTATCGATCGATAGTAACAGTCAACGCCATTGAACTTGTTTAATCAATCGTGGAACTAATTGTACAAGATCCGGCTGCTTAAATCTGCAGTTATCTGCTTTTTTTATTAAACTTATTTTTTATGATAGATCTAAGATATAATATATAGAATAGATTGCAACAGGGTTGAATGGAAAAATATAGTCGAATTATTTAAAAAAAAAATTTGGGACTACTTTTTGTTGTTAAATTGCAGTCATATGTTTTGTTTGATAATGATCTAAAGAATCGAAATAACCATTGTCACCAGCTCTCAGTTAGCCGCAACCCATGGGCTGCCAGTGTAAACATGTAATATCTTATTGTTAATTATTTACACTTCCGTGTTTTTCGAATAAAATATTTTTTTTTTCTTTTATATTAAAACACGGTTGCCTGGTAAATAAGTATTGCAAACAAAGGTTGCCATTACTTAAATTAATGTCGTCCACATCGAAGACTATGAGCTGTGTGTTATGTCTTTTAGAGAAAATTTACAATTTTTATAGTAATTTTTTATCAATTAAAATATTTCGAGTTTGATTAATAACATCGGTCACTTTGATTTTCGAAGTGGAAAAATTAAATTCCCACCATATTTAAGAATCGTGTTCATTAAGTAAGTCATATAGTAACCAGAAACAATGACTACAAAACTTTCATTATCCAGAGTAATCAAGCAAAGTCATTGTTACATTGTGATTATGTCCAAACAAAAGTTTATTTCCGTAATGATTAATATTCACTGGTGTGACTCATCATAATAAATCTCTAAAGAGAAATGGAAAAGAACTCGTACGACTTAATTAGGTAGACTTTTATTATGCTATAATTAAAACTTTTCCATCTTAAGTTGATGATGAGCTTTATGTCGCAGTGGTTAGTTTTTAAGAAACCTTTGCAGAGGCCGGTCATGGGAAAGGTGACCAAAAATCTCGAGTTCCTCCATGCCACACATTGTGCTCTTCTGGTAGGTTATGTCCCATTCTTCCTATTCGTTTTGATTCGATTCTATCCACAGGAAAGGCCTGTTCCCCAGCAGCGGACACATTAAGAAGCTGTTAGGGATCTAAAGTAATAAATATTACGTTATCTCTTTATTAATTTACCTATCAATGTTTGGTATATTCGTTCTGAAGTAATTCAAATAGATCCAAAAATATGTGGTCGCAATTTTCAATGATCGAATATGCCTTACGGATTCATTCATAGAGCACTTATCGTACATCCTTTCTGTTCTTATGATGTAGCATTTTCGTTATTGGAAATCAACTTAATATTATTCTTTCAATCAAATGGACCGCTCACGATCATATTATATTAAATTTAGCAAATAATATGTCGTCAATATATGCTTTAATATATTTTTCTCTTTAGACTCGATATGAAAGACTTTTGTGATTCTTTAACAATGTTCAAAGTCACGTAAACCTTTTATGTAATTCATATAGTATTCTAGTATTATAACAAGTTAGAGGTTCTAACTTTGTGTCTCCGTAAATGCACATCCGATCATGAATATTCTTTAACCTACGGGTAGCTTCATCATATGCGAGTGACATCTATAATTTATGCGGGCGAAGTCGCGACAGCTAGTACATATATATCCTGTCCTGTAACATCTAAAATTGCTACACCTAATGGTAACTATTGTAACAACTGTATTTAAATATTTTTGTAACTCCAAATAAAGTTTTGACTTTAGATTTATACAACAAATAAATACAAACTATTTTACCGATTATATTCAATGTTTTTTTTTTTAAGAATTTAATCAAGATATAATTGTAATAAAATAATAGATCAAAGAGTTTTGTCAAATCTACCGCGTTGCTTCATTGATATGAACTTCAGGTTAATTTAGATGTTGGAAATCCGTTTTCGAGAAATTAAACAGAGAAAAAGGGAAATAAAGTCATATCGGGTAGTATTTGGTATTCTTTAAAAATACAACGTTTAATGCAGCGTCCAACGCAGCACTTTCGCAACATAAAGGTTCAATTAATTAACCTCTAGGGCCACGGTAGTGAGCTGCCAAGACGAACCAACCAAAAAAAGCGTAAGGGCACTATTTACTTTTTCTCGAAACGCTTTGTCGGATTTTTGGACCCTCAAAAATCTGACAAAGCGATCCGACAACTTATGTTTGGATTACACTAGATACATAATTAAACTTACAAAATTTCAATTGGATAGCTATCAATCAATGATGATCATCAAAACTTATAGGATACTTCCTGCAGAAAGCTGAAATTTTGTATACGGGTAGTAGTATCAGTATACAGAAAACACAAAAATTCAAAAACTTGGAACTTTTACCCTCTATCCCCTTAAATTAGGGGATGGAACTTTGTATGAAACTTCTACAAAATTGATACTAGAGGTCTGAAATTTAATCCCAATAATAAACTTATTAAACATACAAAATTTTAATTTCTTAGCTCTTACACTTTTGATTTTATGGATATCTAAAACCCCAATTTCGGTCTGAAAACCCCCGATTTCGATACTTGTAAAATGATGATCATCAAAACCTATAGGGTACTTCCTGAAGTCGTAGAAAGCTGAAGTTTGGTATATAAGATAGTATTAGTTCACAGACAACAAAAAAAAATCAAAACTTGAAACTTTCACACCCCATCCCCCTACACTAGGGGGTGGAACTTTATATGAGACTTCCGCAAATTAAAATGCTAAAGGTTTGAGAAATTGATGTAGGACAAATGATTAAATTAAGGGATGGAAGTTTGTATGGGTATTCACATAGAAACTGAGATTTTTGAAAGTCATGTATATGTTATAGTTGTTTAATGCATCAACAAATGGTCGAAGTATTGAAAACTATATGATTGTTTTAAAACAGGCAAACTATTCTCAGAAACAATGGAATCATAATATATGTATATTTTATTTCTCCTATTACCTACACTGAACCGACAAAGGTGTCTAAGTGCGAAAAATTGGAGCCCCTATACCTAATGTAAATTAACTTATATACTTCAGGAATATAGACGCAAGCAGGCCATCAATTAAAAATGTAAGTGGAACCTAAATTTTCTAATCATTTACAATAGCAAGCATATAACAAAATAAAATTTACCTCACATTCCGGCTCGGTGATGTAAGAACCATTGGCGAAATATTTCTTCGGGCACTCAGACCACGGAAGCTCGGCTTGGAAGCTCTGCGCGAAGTAGAAGAGACACCAAGCGATGATCGAGTTGTAGTACAAAGCAACGTTAAATGACACCACAGCCGAGCTGATGCCGATGCCTCCAAGGTAAGGCGACACTTGATGCCACACGCCGATAGCACCCTTCCTTAAACGCTGCCCAATAGCCAATTCCAAATAAAAAATCGGTATACCCTCTATAGCCAACATCACGAAATACGGTATGAGAAATGCTCCTCCGCCATTCTTCTGTGCCAAATAAGGGAATCTCCATACATTGCCCAAACCTACTGCGTACCCAACTGTCGCCAACAAAAAAGTCAGCTTGCTGTCCCACGACTCCCTCTCTAATTCACCTCCTTCGGGCTTCGCGATACCCCTATCTTCCACCGAGCTCGCTTTACTAGTCGGTGTCTCTGAAGAACGTCTATTAGGACTCGTATCCTCGAATGCCTCATTCGTTGCTCCATACATGACGTGTGTGCGATGGGAAGGATGGCCGTTCTCCATTGTCACCAAGCGCCCTCGCAGCTCCTTCATCTCCATTCGATCTATAGAACGCTGAGCATACAGATCTCGGGAGCTCTGTCGCCTCATCAAATGTGCTGTGTTCGCCATTTTTATTGTCTTAATCAAAATATTATCTACTTAATTTAATCCTACTTTAATTATTGTCGTAATATTATTGTCATTTTATTTTGTCACGTCTCAATTTTAAGCCGTACCTTTTTTAAAGCGACTCATTCTCTACATCGTGGCACATGATGAGAACCATTAAAAAGCCCATCAGTGTTATGGTGCTTTCTATTATGTCAGACCTCTGTGTTAATAGCATATGTATCGATTTGTTACACAGCATTTTTTTCTCTGTTCACTGCACTCGCGATTTATTCACATCACATGGTTTTCAAATGTGTTTTATGTTAGAGGGTGTTGGATAGCGACATTTAAATTATTTAATAAGGTTTTTTGACCGGGTGGCGGCCGTCCTGCGTGCAGAACGTCACTACCACTGGCGGGAAAGTTGGGAAGCAGGAGGAAGGAGGCACGCATGCGCTGAGGGGATGGCTGATGCTGTGCCGTTGTACATACGTGAAACTACATCTATATTATTAAGAAAGGATTATTTTAGATGCAATTGCACCGCTCTTTGTAAATCTGTGACAGACGTAACGTTTATTTGCAGCTACAAATGTCACGTAATCATTTTCAATTTGAGATTGCATCAGATTCTGTAAAAAAAACCGAATAAAATAACTAATGATATATAATAGACGAATGAGAATATTATAGACGAATTATAACTTCTATTAGATTAAATGCAGAATCACTTCAGATTTAGGATAAACTTCGTTGATATCGGATGCATCCAACCAACAGCATTACTATTATCAAATCTGTCGACCTCTAGCAAACATTACTATATTACTGGACGATCGTACATACATAAATAGATGAACAACTAGACGTCAAATATAGATTATGTGCCTTTGTAACAAAGTCCATATTTGAAATGAAAACTTGAACCTACACGGTATCGTGACGTTTCCCGACAATATGTTATATAACGTTTAGTAGAACCTTTAATACTGGCGATCCAAGTATGGTAGGTACGGCCTTCAATAGACATTGATTTATTATGAAGGAAGAAAATTGGGGTCAGGAATGTTATATAACAAATAATATACCTGTTAGGTAATATTAACCATGTCATTTTATTTTGGCTTTTGGAGAGCACTGATACATTTTTTAAGCGTGTTCCTTAGAGAGTTTATTTTTTGATAGGATTTCGAAAACCTTCTTTTTTCAAAACGTCATTTAGCGGAAAAAGTGAAAAATAGGTTATATATGTGTATTTAGGTACTAGATTCTAGAAATAATTAGATGCTCCGGCCATACTATTCGTTGCCGTTTACACTAGTAAAGACCAATAACTATTAAGTAATTAGTTTGCTATCATATATAAGCCTATTGTGGCATTAGTGGAGTTTAAAAAATTATATATTTTTTTTAAGTAACCATCTTAAACCATTACGAATTTTTGCAGCATGTTTTTATTAAGATAAAAGAGTGAACATTCGAAACGCTGGCTGTGAGGACTCCACCGTCCTGAATGTTATGATGGATGACTGAGTAGAAAAAATAATATCTAGTCCATATGATGTCGTCGTAATTTATTGATCTTTAATAATCTACTTGACGGACAAACAAAGAAAAAAATAGAACTGATTTCAAACTTAAAAAAGTGAAAAATAATACTTATCTCAAAAGCGACTTATTCAAGAAAATTGATAGAATTAATGCTGTGAAATAATTAAAATTAGCGTTTAGCTACGGTATACAGTAATATTACCGTGAAATTGTTTCTATAGATAACATACTTATGCCATAGCAGGTCTAGGCATTTTTCATTATAAGAATACGCTCTGTAGTAGCGAAAAGTAACAAGTGCTTGGAAGATTCGTCAGTCCTGTTAGGTCCTGGGTAGCTCAGCGGTTAGAGCAGTCACCCGGATTGCGAAAGGTCGTGGGTTCGATTCCCATCTCAGGGTGCCAGGGACCAAGTGGATTTTTAAAGCATTTTGTATTAAGAATAATTTTTAGTATGACATTGTGAATGCAAAATTAATCAAAATGTAATAGGTATATAAAAATATCATCAAAATGTAATAATTAAGAACAAAATTCTCATCTTTATCGAGAGTTTCAATATTTGTAACAATATTTCTTTCGGCTGTTTGGGTGGATTGCCTGAACTTTGATGAGAATACGCTCTGTAGGTAACGAAAAGTAACAAGTGCTTAAAAATTCGATTCCCATCTCAGGGTGCCAGGGACAAAGTGGATTTTTTAAGCATTTTGTATTCAGAATAATTTTCAGTATGGCATTGTGAATGCAAAATTAATCAAAATATAATAATTTAACAAAAGTTCTGAAAACAATAACAAATAGGTAAGTTAGTTTTATTGCTATTAGTAGAATTTACGGCAACAAAACTACATCAAATTTCAATAATGTTTTTATATTATATGTGGCGAATGAATGAATGGGTTTATTAATCAACAACAAATCTATATACTACTATCAAGTTTGTTATCTATATACTACTTGATATGTATCAAATATTCTAGGTTCTCGTACAAAGTAACATGACTTCTGGTAGAATGACGTTTGTACAAAGTACCTTTCGAAATTAAGTTTATTTTTTTAACTAAAATCAGTTATGAAATCTTATAGTCATAATTAAATTATCTTAATAAAAATTCAACAAGATACGTCCGTTCGAAACGTATTGCGTTAAAAGGTTTATACCTTTAAATTTCAAAATCACAAGACACGTGCAGTTAATATACTAGCCTGATACAAATACCAACTTTCAGTATGGAGATCAAACATTAAAACATAACAGCTGTTTTTTTATTATTATAGGGGTATCATATATTTCCTTTTTAATATATGAATTAATCCAACGACATTTTTTTTCGGATTATTAGTAAAAAAAATAAAATTCCTTTAATTTGTCAATGACATGATAAGCAAAATACATATAAAGTGACTTCTACGTATTTTCACACTGTTACTTATGTTACTTCCATGAAATACATAAATCTTCCTTATATTATATTTGGAAACTCATATTTTTATATAACACGGACAATAAATATTTAAAACATATTTGTAAAAAAATCAATAATATTAACAATGAAATACGACTTCAATCGATATTACTATTTTGCGTTAAGTATATTTTGTTTTGAATCCAATGAAAATTTCCATGGGAATATTGCATACCAATATTCCCGTGGAATATTGGTATATAACACGCAATATATGCAGCAGACTTTTGAATTAAACACATACTCTACTAAATATCATTAAAATCCACTCATAAAAGTTTTATTATATTAAACTACAACAAAAAAAAAGGAAAAAATAAAGATTAATAAAAATCACTATTTCCTGTAAGTTTTTTAGTTGGATTTCAGTAATTTTCATTGTCGCTATGATAAATAAAACCAAAATTTGTGAAAAAAGTCGTGTTAGTAATTTTGCGTGAAGAAAATGAAGGTTTTTGACCTGATGTTTTTTTTAATACCTTCCGTACCTAAAATGAGATGGATTCTTAAATATAGTCTATTGTAATTGGCTCATAAACTCGATTAAAAATATTCCAGGTTTATATCGAATTATTTCCGTTTTTCTCGTATTTGTATCAGGCTATACTATCGCTACTGAACTTGCATGTCGACGGCGGAAGTTGAACCAAGTGTTAAATTAATTCGTATGGTGGGTATGTGCTTTTTTGGTTCTTAGAATAATATTGTAAATAATAGATTGACTTCCTACTAAGCCTACCCTAGAAATCAGTTTAATGGAAATATATTATTGCTTAACTACCTAGAGCTATCTTAAAAATCCCAGCGGTGGTGCCGTGTCGGGTCATCACGTGCCCTCAAATATAGTTGAGCGAAGCGATGGCTGGCTCATGCATCAAGCTCTTCAACGGGTGCTGCCAGTGGGGGTGAGTCTGCACTGGACTAGTTCGTCCATTTTCTTTTATTATAAATATTGTATATTGATTTGTCAATCAGTATGTATGACTTGGCAACCGGCATATAAATAAAAAATATATGTCTTGTTATTTCTGGTATTGTAATGGAAATATACTTCATAATCAAATTAAGTGACATTCCAATAAGACTTCTCTGTAAAATAAAACAGAGAGAAAAAACAGCCCTTGCTGAGTTACTTGCTGGTTCTTCTCAGTACAAGGTCACCCCCGGTAGTTTTGCGAACCATTAGCATAGTTTTCAACTTTCACCAGTATTATGTAACAGCCTAGACTGAATTTATTTTGATATTTATATTAATATCATTCGACGTGTGGATGCCTAATGACACATACATAAGTATACAAGCTCCACTTTTTGTTCTTCATTCCAAACCTGAATGAGGAAGTATTTAAAAAAAAAACGAAAGCACTAAAAAAAGCACCATTAATTTCCTACAAAAATCAACTTTTGCTAGAGTCGCCATCTAGTGGAGGTGCGTTTTTAGTGCTTTCGTTTTTTTTAAACACTTGCTCATTCGATTTTAGTGCCTACGCTCTACCTTACATTTATTTGAAAATCTATATGAGACTGAAACTCCAAAACTCCGGTGTTTGAATTTAGAGCATCGAAACCTAACTCCGGAGCAAAAAAAAATACTCCGATTAGAATTTCGATAGAAGCCCCCGTGTTATTATACATATTATATATCATCATCATCATCATCATCATAATCATCATTTCAGCCTGTTGCAGTCCACTTCTGGACGTAGACTTCCCCCAGAGTGCGCCACAAAACACGATCTCCCGCTTTCTTCATCTAGCCACTGCCAGCCACTTTTTTGAGGTCGTCAGTCCATCTTGCCGGAGGGCGTCCAACACTACGTTTGCCGAGGCGTGATCTCCATTCGAGAACACGTCTGCTCCACCTTTCGTCGGTTCTGCGACAGATGTGGCCAGCCCACTGCCACTTCAGCTTGCTACATTTCTGGATGACATCCATCACTTTAGTCCTCTGCTGGATGACCTCATTCCGGATTTTATCTCTCAGATAAACTCCGAGCATAGA